ACAAAGATGAAACTATACTTGAAGAAGTATATACCGTATTAATATCAATTCAAGTATATTTAAAATATTCTCATTTTCAAAAACATTTTAAAGCACTGTGGGATCAGTATAATGAATAGGCTATTGCATTCCACTAGAAGATATTAATCCATAATAATCATACAAATAATTTTTCAAAGGCTAGAATTCGAGTAATAAAAGATATTATATTTGGGAGAATTTAGACATATAATATAGTTCAAATTTTTCATTTTATTATTAGGACAATAGATCTCTATTATACTTGCAAATTGCTGGCTGTGGCTTACAATAAGATGGATAATTTTGTTGCACTTCACTTTCAACTTTCAGACTAGAAAATCAGATTAATAGATAATATTAAGGTTATAAGTAATATATAAACATCAAAGCAGCAAAAATCTCAATCTTACCTGAATTCCTGGGTTTATAACGGCCAGACTCAACATATAGAGCAGGCTACAGGTAATCTAGAAACTATGCGAGCCAGGTATACGGTGAGCGACCTTGTAAAAGACAATCCCAACAAGTCACTACCAATATCATCCACTTCCTGTGACTTGTCAACTAACCAATTACCTAAACTCAACTTCAACTCTAATATTTGCTATAACAAATATCTATCTAGTCAATCTTTATCCTTATTATTACACCCTCAAACCATAGGATCATTCCTTAACCATATCAAGGAAATTAGATATACATCTAATAAATACCTATACAAGCCAATCATTTCTATCAAAAAAGGCCACAGCGAAGCACATATATATCTTCCTAATGAATTTGAGGTACTCAAAAACCATACAATCTTAGAAACAGATCAATACTAAGAACACTTATCAATACTATTAAAATTACACTCTGAGTATACAATACCTAATTCACTGTCAGATCTTTTCATATCAATACTACTACCTTCCATTGTAGAATCCAATACTACTATACAACCATTATTATTATCTACGGCTTCAAACTCCATCCCACCTAACATGAATCACTCAAACAACCTCAACTATAATATACAAGACTAATCACTTAGTTTATCTATCTGTACACACAATGTACGTGGATACAATACAGACCTAAAACAACAAGTTTGAGAAAATTACTGCCTTTCTAATAATCTCAACATTATAAGTATTACTAAAACTAAAATTGCTCAATTAAACGCTCGCACCAAACTTCAAAAATCTAGAAACTTTACATATTACTGGTCTTGTACAGATGGACCTAAAGCAGGTT